ATAATTAATTAGCAAAAGACACATTGTCAATTGTTCGGACCATCAATGGAGTACAAAATCGACGCTCCTTCTGCATAGAGAAAAGAACCCAACCCCAAAATAGTTTATTGTTTCCTTGTAATCCTAAAATTGTACTCTTGAGTTAGTTATAATTTTAAGATAAAACAAACGGGATCTATCCTGTTTCAACCAATGCGAAAGGTGCTCTTTTGTAACCAGATAGTTCACAATATCTACAAACCATGGCACAGACTGGATTTGTAAGAGTTGTTTATTTGGAAAATGATTGTTTATTAGGACATTTGGTGTTGATGAATTAGGAACCTTAGACAAATGATCTGCTACAAGGTTATCTGCTCATCTTCTATCAAGAATTTATAGATCAAACTCTTAAAGTAGGAGAATCCAATTAATGAGCCATGCTCTAGTAATTTTTTCTCTCAAAAGATACATTCACTACCCATCCTAGCGAGGATTTTCCCATCCATTGTAAGCACTTCAAAGTAAAGTTAAATAGGTTACAATCCCCACCAATACATAGTCTCCGATGTACTGGACTTTCACTCTTTATCTCGCTCAAGCCCTTGAGCATATAGGACTTATTTTTTCAATCACGCAAACCTATGCATTGGACTTTAACCCTCTATCACTCTCACACTTTGAGATGATAAGATACAAAGTGAGAGATATGATGTTGTCTACATTAAAAGTAAGAACTGAGATGACGGAAACTTACAACACTTAAAATAACACAAATGCACAAATGCACAAGAATAAATGATACTCTAAATGTATGCAATAAATAAGTAAAAACATAGTAAAATCTCTGATAAGAGATGACAAGCAAGCAAATTCCCAAAAATAACATCTCAAAATTATATCAGGCAAATCTCACAATATTAAAATATAGTTTTACTCAAGGGACAATATAGCCTTTGGATCTATGAGTGGAACGTTCAATAGGAGTATCAAAAAGCACGTAGTAGAAAGATAATTGAAATTAGAATGCTCAGTAGTGCCGGTTTGCTTGAAGAGAAATGTGTAGGCTGTCTAAAAATCACAATGAATAGCTGACCCCTATCAAGCTCCGACAAGGGAAGTCACAATCAGACGACTTTCTAATCACTGCATCCGCAACTCCACAATCGCCACAAACACGACCTCATTTCTGAGATGATTGATCTTGATGGCTGCGACAACAGCACGACTAATATTATATTAGCAATTATTGAAGATGCTGATGAGCAGTGTAATGATTTTAGAAATGAAAGGTTGGACTTAGTTGGTGAGTTGCTTGGTAGAGAGCTGTGGGCAAATATCCATCTAAAGACACTATGGATGTTGATTCCCGTCAAGTTCCTACAACGAAAGCTACAATCAAATAGCTTTCGCGCCGACAATCGAAAGTTGGTGAGTTGCTTGGTAGAGAGCTGTGGGCAAATATTCATCTTCAAAACACTATGGATGTTGATTCCCGTCAAGCTCTCACAATGAAAGCTACAATCAAATAGCTTTCGGCTCGACAATCGAAAGCGGCAAATAGAGGACTTTTCACATAGATCGAGAAGAGTTACAATTCAACAATACTTCCGACAACTGATGAAAACTCTATTCAGCAGTCTTCAAAATCTACGGTGAAAGTTACAATCTGACGACTTTCATACCCTATAACAGCTAAAGCCAGGATTACTGAACAACGGTCCTCGCAACGCTTCACAGAAGAAGTTACAAGTCAAAAAGCTCCTTCTGAAACACGGATGTCATCCCCGCGTTACAACTTGGGAAGTGCAGGCGACCCCCGCATCTCCAAGATACAAGCTGAACGTGAGTGACCCTCGCGTTCGTAGGGGTCCAACCAACACCGACCCCCGCGTTTCCAAGCAGGCAACAAGCCAAAACGCGAGCGACCCTCGCGTTCAATGATGTTCAGCTAACACCCAACCTCGCGTCTCAATTCTAAGAGGCGAAGTTGGGTGCTAAACGCCAGATTGGGCGTTTGACTCGTTCAAACATGAGTCGAACGGTTTCAGAACCGTTTATCCCACGTTCTGAGGGATTTTCGCCCACGTAGGAGCGGATATAGGGGTCAGTTACAACCTCCTATCCCCCTATAAAAGCTCAACGAACTCAACAGAGTGAAGGATCGGATTTTTTATAATCAGATCGAGGGGTTGGATTTTTGACATCTGAACCACACAGGTTGGATTCTAAAGATCTAAACCGTACAGGTTGGAGATTTTTCAGTTCTAAAAAGAAGAGTTAGCAAAGATCGGATTGGGAAGATCTCAACCACTCAGGTTTGGCGATTCAACAGCAGCAGCGAAATCCTTGGAGATAGGATTTTTGAATCAAGCTCAGAAGATCAAATCTGAGAGGATTCTTCAACAACAGAATAACGGCTTGATCATTAACCGAATTTTCGGTTCTAACAACTCTATTCACAGAGTTCTAACTCGTTCAGAGTTCTTAAACTCATTCAGAGTTAAACATCAAACTTTCCACAGAAGTTCATCGTTCCCACGAGAAGGCCCTCCATCGCCACCGAGAAGAACCCAGTTTTAAACAAAGGAGAGAATCAAATTCGTTCTCTTCTCTTTTGTAATCAAGTTGTAATCGGAATCAAAGAAATACAAGTCAATTTTCTTTATTCTTTTCATTGCAATTTTCCCTCCAAACAAAATGATCTAGGTAGCCAAATATACAGGCAAGCCAAGATCAAGAGAAAACAATAATAGTTATTGCCGTCGTGGCTCTCTTTTTCTCACAAGAGTCAACATAGCTGGTTTGCACTAATATGGTAAGAACTTTCATGTTGATAAAATATAGTAAGAACTTTCATGCTGATAGATCATGGCAGTTACGGATTTGGGAAAGCTAGCTCATCAGCATTAATTGTAAAGTGCCTAGCATGTTTTTTTAGCCAGAGGCAAAAAATTGTGCATTGATGCAGGTGTTGTAGGCTATTGGGTTTACTGAAATAGATAAAAGAGAGATTTTCAAGCAAAGGCTTCTCAGCAACTCTCAACATTAAGCATAGATTAGGTAACAAGATTCAAATGGTGCGATCTTGAACTATAGGGATTCTCTCAAATATGAAATTTAAAATTTGATAATGGATAGAATCAATTTTGCCAGAAGACTCAAACATTGATCATAGCCTAAGACTCAAACATCCTGTTAGCTTTGCCTAGCCTTGAACCTCTTAGCTGAATGTTCCACAGTTCTTCTGATTATCCTCTTGGGTTCTCTTGTATCTATCTTATTAATGTGCATGTTGTTGTAGTGTTCTTGACTTCTCTCTTGATGTTGATTTGAAGGATCTCAGTCAGCTTGTAGTCTCGACTTAAATAGATGTTTCCATATATGCTTGAAGTCATGCATTCATCCAAACAATTGAGCTAAATATCTAAAACACTTTGCAAACTCGTTAGTGATAATTTAGTTCATTAGTCAAATCTATAGATCTCAAACTTACACTCCAATCCACTCCAAAAATTCAAAAGAAGATCATTCTTTGCAGAACGATGCATCTACTTGATGGACGGCTATGTGAGGTCACCATGCAACTGAAGGGCTAGAAAATTCTTCCCGTTGGTGTAGTCCTTTATTGATTTTGATGGAGTTAGCTTTCTTTTTGCACCATGTAATGAAATTTTGGAATCTGTCAACGTTTTGTCATGGATAATTTGCAATTTTGTTGGATAGCTTCTCGCAAGAGCTTATGCTTTGTACCATCAATTTTCACTTTAGCGCACTAGTACTATTGCACTCTGATGTTGGCATTTGGTAGCAGTTTCATGCTTTTAAAAGAACATATTTGAAGAGTTGGGAGTGTTATAAAATTTAATTCATAAATTTGTGCTCGTGCAGCAACTCTACTTAGCGATTTTGCTCATAATATTGTTGTTGAGAACATGTAAACAGGGAATATTAATTGCTTTGTAATGAGGATATATTTGTGAGTATTGATGCCCAGGAAAAATTCCTCACTAATGAGGATATGATTTCTTGTGTGAAATGAGCTATAGCTTGAACGTAGTTTCCTATGTAATGTTTTGTGGGTATAAACCTTTTTTACCCGAGGACAAACATTCACCCAGGAACAAAAAATAAAAAAAATAAAAAAATAAAAAAATTGCGGGTATTGCTTAATAGCGAGGGAGGCATAACCCACGGACTTTTACCTAGGAAAATATCATGGGGACCGACTACCTCCCACCATTTCGCAATATCTACCCACGAATTTGCCCGTGGGTAAAGTCAAGTTTTCCAGGAGTGAGGTCTTCTGCATCGCCACGGAGAAAGGAAAGCAATCATATTCAACAAGGGCATGCAAATGATATGGAGTTCCTTCATTATAGGTTTGCGTTGATTATGGAAAATATATCAGAAATTTTCAAGTACAATATTAGAATTGTTGAACTGTGTTTAGAAAATCCAGGAAGAGTGAAAGTTCATCAATCCTGCACTTCCACACTATATAAAAGAAAGCAAGAATAACTTCTTATTAGCTGCAAAAGCCGAAGCATCTAAAGAGACTGGTAAGAACATCATTCAGGTCCTATTTGCAATAAGCCATGATAAGCTCCAGCGAGCATCTGAAGAGACTGCTAATTAAGAACATCATTCAGGATACAACCGCTTACTTCTCCATCAATTTCTGAGAATCCGAGTCCGCTGCGCTCCTCTTTGTGCGCCCGCAAGACATTCCAAAGAGCAGCTACTATAAAACTCAAATACATCAGAAATATAATCCCGCGGACGCGTCTAGAACACAACAAAAGCACTGTCTATATCATCACGAAGATAAACAAGATACATTCTGTTCTATTTGTTTTGTAGGCGTGCACTATATTTATTGGCATACATAAAAACAAGAGGTATGCTGGGTGAAAAGAATATTGGGAGAAAAATTATTGCTGCCGGAAGACAGCAAATGCCCTTAAAATTTCTCTTCCAGCATTCTATAAGTCAGCGCACTACAATGGAAACTAAAATTATCTTCTATAAATTAAAAAGAGTTTAGATTAAATATAAAAAGGTAACGTACAGACCATCCAACGTACGTAACCACAGAATCTAACACCAGATAAACATTGTCTCTCATTACAACACCCACAACTGGTAGTACGTATTTACGGAGATCGGATACGATATTTACCAAAAGAAAGAAGAGAGGGAAGGATCTGCATGGCACAAGGTTAGCGTTGAAATGTCACTTGTGAAGGTACAGGCTTTACAAATATTTCCAAAGTCATACGCAAGGCATAAAAGGATGGAACTGCATCCGGTGGAAAAGAGGGGGAAAATCGGAATTCGTGCCTCTTATTTCTTAATTTGCGTTAACAAATTTTTACGCTTGCCCTGCAATAAGGGCAGTCTCCAAAATTCTGTAGCCACGGCTCCAAACAAGAAGGATGGAACCTGTGGCAACAAGGCAAGCGAAGGAGCCTGTCGCCCGCCTGGAACCTCTCCAAACATATAGCACACTCGAGTGATGCCCTCAACACAGACTCATTTTCTTGTCCATCCTCGAAATTTTCTTGTGGCAAACTATAGATGGTCTTGAGGCTAAGTCCCGGAGGCTTCTGCTTGCATATATCATGAAGGGACACTGGTTGGTTTGCATCGACAGCTGTGTCGGTAAACCGTACATCAGACTCAATCCATTCTTGTAATGTTTCAATTTCCCACTCTCTAGAATCTGTTATCCCAAAGTCATTCTCGCCATTAGAATCATTATGGGACATATTGAAGGCCCATATGCTTTGCCTGGGTAAAGAAAGCAAGTTGTTAGCTACAATTGCATATTTGTTTGATTATTTCTGAGTTTCTGAAAAACAAAAGAATCAATATTCTACAACCAATATAAGAATATTATTAAAACTCAACTTCTTAGTAAAGTTCTTCAAAGCATCCATTTAAAATTAGTTTGACAGAAACCTAGAAAGAGCTTGGTAATATACCTGCTTTCAGCAAGAGAAATGCCATGCAGTCTCTCAAGAAGCCTCGCTCGTGCTTGAAGTACAGTACCTGGAAGCCGTTCATTTCCTTGCCCACTTCTGATTAACGTCAACTGATTAACTCTATTCCTAATTGTTCCACTATCATCATTGTCGCCTGTACTTGAATTGTTAGGACTTCTGGTATCTGATTGAAGAAATTTCTGTTCCTGAACAAATCGAAAAATAGACAAAGATGAATCACTCATTTACTCAACCACTGGTCCACTGCTCTTAAGTTAAGTAGCACAATTCTTCCTGTGTGTTTGAATGGGGAGTAGCAAAGGACAGGGGCAGGGTTACCACCTTAGCTTTATTTGGGAACTTTTTTAAAGAGCATAATGGAGGGTAGGGAGGGGAAATTATCATATAAAAGTTGTGAGTTTGTTCTTCCCAAATTGGGGTTTAGAGGAGATGAGAGGATTGTCATTAAAAGGTTGGCATCTATCATCATGGATCAACAGCTGAGATTTGACTTTAAAGCTCTTCTTTTCCCTTAGCTTGCCTTCATTAGAACTCCCAAATAAAATAAAATAAGTTCCCCTTGATTCCCCTTACTAAATTTTCAAACAGATGTTATAAATTCTCTTTCCTTCTCCACCTTCCCTTTCCTTCCTCTTGTAAACTCCCAAACACAGAGAGAAGAGAAAGTTTAATACTACATTCTAAGACTGGGTTCCAACTAGATAATAAGTAATAACTCCAAACAGATTGGTGCCTTATTCAAGGGGAAGAATGTACTGACAAGTGACAGCCTTTCACAAAACCTACAAGACAAATTGGTATGTCAGGTGGCATATCTTCCTCCATGATGCAACTAATAAAATCATACAACAAAGAAAGAGGGTGCAGGTTTCCTTGACCTAGATAACTATGCAAATGACTATATGTTTATGAGACTTTTGAAGGCCAATAAGGTTTCATTTTATTTTTTCCATGATGGTTAAGTTGATGCATGGAATATCTATGCTCATCATATGATTGTAATCCTCAACCTCTGGAATTATCTTCTTTCTCTACGAAACGTTATTTCCTAAGGAAGAAACTAATGCAAGGAGACCAAAAAAATTGAATCACATGCACAAACGAATGAATCAAAAAATGAATAATTATCCAATAGATAAAACATTAAGTGCTTGCTGATTTAAATATCCCAGATACACGATATTTTAGGATTCTAATAAAATGTTTCATAATACTGTGTGTGTATGAGCATTATTGTTTTAAGTACGCCCCACATGGCCGATGTATCAGCTGATATAACTTATTATAAGATTTATCACAAAACAATATGATCTTGATATCCTTTACGGCCTTTAGCAATTTTTGAGCGATATATGATGATTTTTCCCATATATCATGTGAGATTTTGGCCTTTAAAAATTGACAGAAATGTAGCAATGTCAATTTGAATTTTGTTTGTTTTAAAAGATTAGTTAGGAACTTAGGATTTATGGTTCAATTTAGGTCTAAATCCAATCAAATATATGTCAAGGTTTTAAATAACGGATATCGGGAAATATCAGATGACTAAACTCTATATCAGATTGTGGATATCAGGGAAATAATGGGAATATGTAGTAAATATCGGTGTTCCATATCGAATGATGTGCATATCTAATACAATATCCTAAAATGTAATATGAACATACATAATGAAATCAAAGCATACAAAAATGTAAATAATATATGTTCAGGATCACTAACCATTGTAGAAATTATTTAGAGAAATGAACATACTAGAATTTTGCTAAAAAACATTAAAGAAGTTTTGCAAATCTACATTGTTCTACAACAAGCTATATAAAAGGATATATCGGTCATGTTGGGGATATATCGCCCAAAAATTGCCAAAAAGCGATAAATGATACTAAGACCATATCATATTACGATAAGACTTATAAAAGGATATATCAGGCTACATCATGGATATTTAAAGAATGTATATGCTTATGTAAATAACCAGAAAAAAAAAGAATTAGGCTCAATTGAGACCATATTCTTTTGCAAAAGGTTACTACCTTTCTCCAAAGCTCTATTATTTGAAATCAAGTATGAATATCTATTATATGTATACACTTAGCTAGTAAGACACCTCGCTATTCATCAAATAACTCTGTTATCCATCATCTTATATGGAATTTTTTCGTCCTACATGTCCTCAACATGTAAAATTAAGAAACACTGATGAGCATAGCCTCATCAGCAGAAAAAATCTAGGTTTTTGTTAGGATGGTATAAGAGTTCTAGTTGCTAGTCTTTTGTTGCCAAATTTTATATATAACTCTCCTAAAATCGTCATTTCCTTGCTTATCGTTCTCCTAGCACAAGACAATTGACACACCCGAACTGAGCTACCTACAGATGTCGGGGAAATGTTTCCCCTACCTAAGTTGCCCTGACACTTCGCGTGGGCGCCCTTACCCTTGTCCGACGCCTTGTCCAACGCGTGTCCGACTCCACATGCCTTGGACACTCCTTAAATAAGCATACATTAGTCCAACATATACTCAATTATATAATATACATGTTTTAATTTAAAATATTCTTCACACACTTCTTGGATGTGTATTTTACACTTCACGTCCACTTCTTGAACCTCACTAGACACAGGTCAGGTTCATTACAGCCTATACCCTGTTGATAAGTATGATTTTAAAGGATCGTTGGGGTATCTAGTTCAAAAATGAGCAATTTTTCAACTTATAATCTACTTAATAGACGAAACATTAAAATATTACAGAAATTTTAAGTTTCATAAATGCGAATGGAAAAAAAAACAAAACAAAATCAATCTCATGTTTATCCTACCTATCACAAATTTGAAATGCCCCGCACCCGCACACGCACCCAGCGCCTATCCTAGATTGGGAGATCGAACATCTTCTAGAGGCAATCCGAAACGAGGGCATAAATGTGTAGTTACATGTTTAGACTTTCTTATTCTATGTTTTCAATTTTGGCCTTCATCGATACCCAAAAAACCTAATAAATAGAAAGACTCGGGTGTTCTTCGCAACAACACCACGGCAGATGCCGACATCTCTCATGGTTGGGAATGGTGTAATATTTGAGCAGCCATAAGAATCGTATAATAATGCAATAAGCGTATCACAATAACGAAGAACAAAAACACAACAAAAGCTTGAAAGGAAGAGGCTAGAAGAGATGCGCTTCCCTACCTCTTCCGAGCCCGCGCGCGCAGTCGCGCGGACGGACGGCGGCGGCGGAGGCAGCGCTTGGAGGTCGGAGGGAGAGGAGGGGTCCACTTGACCACTTGGGTTGACGGGGCGGTTTCGGGAACAGAGGCGCGTGGACCTCGAGAGAAGAGCTCGCAAGCGCTCGTCATGAAGTGGCGGCGTAAAGGGAACGGACGACTCTGTCTATGCAGGGGTTTGGAATTTAATGGGTTTAACTTGGAAAATTTTAATGGGAGGCTGTTGTTTCTGAGAAAGTGAATCACGGGAACATCATCTATCGCAACTGGGGAGGTAATTTCGGCGTGACGCCATGGTAGAAATTTACAATAAACGACAAATTTGTTGACCTTGACTTAAGAATGATGTGCCTGGAATTTTATTTTATATATATATAAATATAGGGAAATATGTATCTAAGCAGCGGTCTTAGGTTGAACCTAAGGATGCATCTTGAAAATTAGATTATATGTAATCAATTTACTTGATCCACTCCGTTCATTTTGATCTACATGATTTGGATGTCATGTAAACAAAAAATTAGGTATATTGGGTTGTTTTTACCAATGCATCAAGTGATGGTAAAATTAACTGTTTTATGACAACACAACAAAAGAGACAATGAAAAATATGTGTTAGAAATATTCACACATCATGATTTTTATTTTGCAAGTGTTTTAAGACATTTAGATCATGATGAATGGTGTGAATCATCCATTAAAGTAGCACAATTCATACATTGAGAGGTGCATCCTTAGATGTACACTAAGGAGACTCCTTATGTACATATTACCCATGTACAAAAATTTATGTTTGGTAGTGAGATAGCACAATCCTCTCCACTCATTCCAATGGTTGCATATCCTCATACACTCCTCAACCCATGTGAATGTGGTCTCCCATTTGAATGAGTGGAGGGGATTGTGTCACTTCACTACCAAGCATAAAGTTTTTGCTTGACGTTCTAGCCAATTTTTTATAACTTTTCTTTTGTTTAGGGGCTGTTTGGTTCGCTTTTATTCCTCGTGGAAAACTTTTTTAACCCCTCCACATTGGTTTTTCCCCTTCTACGTCGGTTATTTCATTTCCGCTATTTTTCTTTCCCAGCTTTGTTTCAATAAGGCTGAAGAGAGAAACAAAAGAGGAAATCACCGCCACCTAGGTTTTTTTTTCTCTCCCCGAATTCCTTCCCTAACCGAGTGAAATCGGCGGAAACCCTAGTCACGTCGGATTTTGGTCTTCCTCGTTGTTTTCTTCGGTGAGATATTGATACCTTCTTTCTCTCCTCCCGCCATAAACTCTCGCGACCTTCTTTGTGGCTGTATTCAAAGAAATTGGGGGAAGGACGTCTGATCTTGTGCCGACGCTATTCAGATCTGATCTTTATCGACGTTGTTGCTTCATAAATCAAGGTAAAAATTGCTTTTTTTTATTTTTGGATTATTAGTTTAATTTAGATCAATTTTCTGAGAAATTGGGGGAGGGGTATCTGATCTTTGCCGATGCTATTCAGATTTGAGCTTTGTATTTGATTAACTTTTTGAGGTTTTAGAGTAACAAATTTTTTTAGCAGATCTGAACTTTTGCGTTGTTTAATAGTGTGAACACATTTTGTAGTTTTATAATGTATATATAATCCCTACCTACGTTTTTATACCTGCTTAAAATTTAATTATGACTTATCCTTTTTGACTGAATTAAACTATATATGTATCTTCATCAAATTGTTAACCCTAAAAATTGAGAAAATTTATGGGGGTAAACAAATAGTAAATAAAAACTATATGGTATCACTAGATGTATGGTGTATCCAAATATGAGATGATAGGAATATTAAATATTTGTATCTAGTAGGATAGAGAAACATATGTTGTTGGAATAATTAAGAATTTTTTTCTAGCCTTTTGTAGGATACTACTGATTTATGTGTGTAGTAGATAATGTTTCTAGCTCATCAAATTAAGTTTCATTATGTTCTGTGCAATAGAGATTGTTCCTATATGACTTCTTGAAGTATTTTTCATGCAATTAATTGCATGTTTTTTGTGAATTTATTATTGCAATAAAGAAGTATATTTATCAGATTTTTAGAAAAAATAGTTTTTGCTAATTGCCAATTTTGTGCAAACTGTTTGTAGCTCTTATACTTAATGACTCACTGTTAAAGAAAACTGAGAACTGAGTCTCACGTTCTCAGTTTCTTTGTTTGAGAGATTTCTTAAATTAATGGATAATTATGCAATTGGGTTGCTTTAGGTGGTACAATCATTCATTTAACTTTTAATTCTTTAAGCTAGTATTTTATTTTATTTTGATGCGTAAGCGTTAGATTCTGAGTACTTTAATCTTCCTAGGTTTAACTTTTTTGGGATCTTGTGTGATGGATCTAAAATTTTGATAGCCATATTAGTGATTTTTTTTTTCATTATTAGTTTTGCTTTCAAAGATGAAATATTGGTAGACAGTGATTGAATTCTTAGAAAGAAAGGAGGATGTTGAATTCATGAAGGATTTGGATCTGTAGTATTTTTGGGTCTCGATAGCTTGTTTAGAATTCTACCTAGTTTGTCATTAATTTTTGTAAATTGCAATTCATTCATGTTTTGTTAGAATTCTACTTAGTTTCTAACTGGATAATGATTTTTGCATCGTAGATAGATGATGATGGAGATTGTACCGATGAACAAAGTGTTGTTAATATGGTTCAAGGTGCTGCACTATTTGTTTTTATTATAATAATTAAGGTCATAAGGAGAATGCAAGCTAGACGTAAATCAATTTGTAGTGGTCCAAGTGAGGAAAAGAAAAGACAAGTGAGGGCTAGAATTGAACACATAGAGCGTATTTATAATGGTTTTAGTGATAGTTGCGTAAATTATATTAGAATGCGGAGTGATGTTTTTGTTAAACTAGCGAATATAATGAGGAACAATAGACTGCTAAAAGACTCAATGAATGTAACAGTGGAAGAACAACTTATATTAACACTGAACATTTTGGGTTATAAATCTAAAAATCGCATTGTCAGATCTCATTTTATAAGATCACAGGAGACAGTTAGTAGATATTTCAACAAGGTATTACAAGTAATTATTTGCCTGTATAGACGCTACCTGAAACAAGCCCCCAATGATATTCTCCAAGAGATTGTTAACAACCCGCTATACTATCCTTATTTCAAGGTATATCTATACTTTAAGAAATTTACATGTATAATCAATGAAAGTAAATGATAACTTAGTAAATTGATTCACACATTATAGGATTGCATTGGTATGATAGATGAGACTCATGTTGATGTAATGCTTCTGATTAATCTTGTTGCCCTATTTTGAGGCCGCAAAGGTGTTACACAGAACGTGCTTACAGCTTGCACCCCAAACAAAATATTCACATATGTTTTAGCAGGTTGGGAGGGGGTTTGCAAATGATTATAGGATTCTCCAGGATGCATTATCTAGACCACAACCATATGGATTGAAAGTCTATGATGATAATTATATAAAACTTTAACTTAAACATTTTAAATTTAATATGCAAACATGACTTCCTTAACAATTTTCTAAATTATATAAAACTTTAACTTAAACATTTTAAATTTAATATGCAAACATGACTTCCTTAACAATTTTCTTAATAAATTTGTAGGCAAATACTATCATTTTAAATTTAATATGCAAACATGACTTCCTTAACAATTTTCTTAATAAATTTGTAGGCAAATACTATCTGTGTGATGTTGGGTACCTCACCATGTCAGGTTTCATATCTCCATATCGTGGTGTTTGATATCATTTGAGAACATTCGGGTAAAACACCTAAGAATAGAAGGGAATTATTCAATCTAAAACATTCTTTTTTGAGGTCTAAGATTGAATCTGCATTTGGCACATTGAAGAACCATTTTAAGATTTTTTGTGTTAATCCGCATTACCCATTTCCTACACAGGTAGATATTGTATTGGCATGCACGGTACTTCATAATTTCATTACAACTGTTGATCCAAGTGATGAACTACTCGACGAGTCCGAAATTAATGAAGATGTTGATGGTGAGGTAATTTATGAGAATGGCAATAATTTAGTTAATTTTACTCAGACTTAAACACAAAGAGAGCAAACCGAATCAAGAAATGAGTGGAAGACTCTTAGGGATGATATTACCTGGGCGATGTGGGTGGACTACTGTGATAAGTATAATCATGGTGTAGCCATTGAGACTTAATTCTCATATTTGTTGTAATATTCATGCTCATGTATGAACTCTTTAACTCTATGTTTTGCTTTGTCCACTTATTAGGGCTTGCTTTTCATTCATGTATTAATGTGGCACTTAATTAGTTATTATATTTTTCTTTTCATTCATGTATTCATATTTTACTTCCAGTTAATTTGTTGTGCGTTATCTTTCATGTATTCAAGTTTTGCTTATTCTACAAATTTTATAATATCTAATTCTCACTATTTAATTAGTAATGGTTGATAAGTGATAATACATCATTAAGTGGGAGAGATAATCATAAAGGCAATGGTGTAGCGCAATCTCAACCTCCACCACCTCAACCCCTTCAGTCCATGCATCAAGCTAAGAGTGGGTATTTTCCATTTCAGCAGTCCTACTTTGGACAACCACCTCATGCAATGTCCAACATGTTCCAAGACGACAGTTACTTCCCGATACACCTACATTTGTGGTCATATACGAACATGCTAAGTTCTCCTACTTTGCCTCCACAATTCCATAGTCCTCATATTAGTGGGTTGCAACTTTCTTCCACTAGCGGGTATGGCTCAACTCCCGAATCAGGATCTAAACGGGTGCCCATAGAAGAGGGGGAAGAAACATCACCAAATCCAAAGAAGAAGAGGAAAAATATGTGCTCAACAAAGAAAAAAATAGTAAGACTTGCGGTTCTCAAGGTAACAAACATATGTTTTGGGATTCCCGTTACAATGATGAGCTCATTCCATTTCTTGCCGACTTGATAAGAAAGGGTTACAAACTCTACAAGAGCTTTAAGAGAACCACTTTTCATATGGCTTCTCAAGATATTAACGAGAAGTTCAACCCAATATTTAAATTGGAAAACATCATGAACCGCATCAAAACTTTATGTACAAGATTCTGAGATATGGAAACTTATCGTAATCTGAGTGGTGCTAGTTGGGATGATAGCACCAAGACCGTCATCATGGAGCCTGAATGTTTGGATAGGTGGATTGAGGTAAATAAAATATTTCTGCACTTTCATTGACTAATTATCTTATTTTCTTGTTTTCATTGAATTAATTCAATTGTACTTTCTCGGACAAGAGCCTTAAGAATGCTAAGCTTAGACAATACGTCAACAAACCCTGAGGAATTATGATGATCTTGCCCTTATCATCGGGGATGATCAAGCTAGAGGGGATTTTGCTAGTGATGCTTGGAAAAAGTTTAGTCGTAGTGAATCCATAAATCTTGGAGACGATGCTGACTCTCCTTTGCCTGCCTAGCAATCCCCTCAAGTACACATTTTTTATGACGAAGACACTCCTCCGCCTAAGGAAGTATCCGTCACATCAAGTTCTAGGGAAAATGCATGTGTTGGTAAGGGTAAGGCTCGTAGGACCAACCTAGATAATGAGCTCATGCTAAAAATGATAGATAAGATAGATGTATTCAGCGGTAGCATGAAATGTGTAAATATGCATTGGACCGAGAAGTTATCCACGGTTCTATATGCTCATTTACATAACTTTAGTAATGCTAAGCTAGATACATACTATCATTATCTCTTTTTGAATGAGCATGAAGCAAGACTATTTATGGGTATATCTCTGGTTGGTCAAAAAGAGATGATTGATGCCTTTCTCAACAAAGATGGTTGAAGTCCGATAGAATATGTGTGTACGTGGTATTTTGTGATTCTCACTTCTAACATACTTGTGAAATCCACTTTTGGTGAAAGACTATTATTATTTAATTTTATTTAGGCAACTACTCGTAGGAATGTTATTTTTATGTTTGTGGAACAACACAATGGTGGAACATATTATTTTCTTATGTAGTACGTATTTATATGCCTCCATATTGTAATATTTACCTTTCATGATGTGAATGTTGTAGAATACTAACTTTACATTGAAATTGTGACTGCAGGAACTTTATAAGTCACCATACGAATATGACAACTGATAAAATTATCTGAGCGGAAAGAAACCTACAATGTACACGCATTGTATTGGATGACTATTGTTGTGGGTTATTAAGGTATTCGGTTGTCATGCCCCGAGTTTAATTTGGTGTCTTTTTTTACTTTTAGGCTATGATGATTGTTAATTTCTAAGATTAGCAACCTGCAATATCTTTTGATGTTGTACTGATGGCTAACAATAATGTTTGTTCTAATTTTTGTCATGTTAGTTCTAATTTGTAACATGTTAGTTCTAATTTATGCCATGTTAGTTCTAATTTGTACCATGTTAGTTCTAAAATTGTACCATGTTAGTTTTAATTTGTATCATGTTAGTTCTAATTTCTGTCATGTTAGTTCTAATTTATGTCATGTTAGTTCTAATTTGTACTGTGTATAGTAGGAGGTAATCTTACCATGGTGACCATAAACATTTTTCCCTACCCACCTCAAAACCAACCAAAAACAAGAAAAGTAGAAAATGTCAAATCAACAAAAGTTTTCCCTTTTTTCATGCAAACCAAACACAAGAAAAGTAAATACAATGCTTTCCCATCATATTTTACATACGAACCAAAACAAAACAATTTATTTCTTGAAAAAGTTTAAAAAACTCAAAATTTGAGTTTTTTTACATGGAATTGCATTTATCTATATTTAGCAAACAAACCAAACAGCTACTTAGTTTGGTTCTGACTTTGAAATCAAGAAAGATGGTGAAGTGACATCTTCCCATCGGCTGATTTGATTCCATTTCTAGAAACCACATTTCGGAGATTTTTATAAGAAAAACACTTGAAACCCTATACAGGAAGTTTCTTTGTCAGATTTCATTTTCTTTGTTTTTTGGGAAATCAACCGAACAACCAAATTCAGTGTGTAGTTTACTATTGATCAAAACAGATCTTTTTTTCATAGGAGTTATCATTATTATATCAAAGTGAGTAACCATCTACACGCAAGATATACATCACAAGAGTCAAGCAGCATAACTTGAATTGGTTGATGAAAGATAGGTTGATGAAAAATATGTTGATGTTATCATCATAGGAAGACGCTCTGTTGAGAAGTAATATGATTAGAAAAAGAACTGTTTTTATTTTTCTCTCTTTTTTTTCCCGCATTGAGCGCTTTTCCTTTTCTTATTGCTATAGTTGTTGAGTATATTTCTTTTTCCCCTCTTTCCTTTCGTCCATAATCACCACCATCTAAAGAAAGCTTCCATAAACAAGAGAAAAGAACCCGCCGAATTAAAGTTACGAAATCACAGGGAGTATCAACCAGAAATTTGTATTCATCCCATAAATTCATCTACATTAGCTTACACGATGCATTAAAAGCAAAAATTTTACAAAGCTCCAATCATCAGCATTAAAACACCAAACAGCATAATTTAGGCAAATCATGGACGTGAGCAACGCAACAAACTGCACAGTGCACAGACAACATAATCTTTTCCATCTTTTTCCCAACAAACACAAACACCCAATCCTTAACAAGAGAGAAGATTGTTATAAATCTCAATACATTGCTCATATCCCTTTTGGGACAATACAATCACAAGCAAATGCAAGAGTTTACAGGAATTGACAAGAACATATAACAACTGCAACACAATATACAAGTATTACCTCTAAAAAATTACACCGATCAGTTTGGCTAAAGTCAACCTATATGCTCAGACCTCAGAGATAATAGGATCAACATTGGAGTACAGATTCCTCATTGTTAAGCAGACCTCTGAGTAATGCGTATCCAGTTCCTGATAAGTTATGAACAACCCAACCTACAGGAACAAAAGGAACACCATCAAATTCAACCATAAATGCAAAATAGTTGCAAACCATAACAAATCTTGATATCGACCCTTGCAATTTGAATGCAATCCATAATTTTACTCATGATGGGTAAATTTATGTTGCATGCTTAAGTGGTAAGCACTGAAATAATTTGAATAATAGTTGGAGTTGGCTGATGTTTCAAATGAACATCACCAATTAATCTATGTTGAGGATTGGAATTACTGCTTCTATTCAATGTCTCCATTGTTCTTAGTATGAGAATTTCAGCAAGCCATCTAACGATTTCCTATAAAATTTTCAGAAACAAGTGTTGGGTAATTAAATTTATAGGCAGTGCTTTATAATTACAGTGAAGTGCAGCAAGAATGTCAGTACTCCAAACGAAGAGTTGAAACTTCTTTGCTAAGAGGATTCAAACTAAAACACAATTCAGCATGCTTTGACAATTATAATGGAGTGAAATTTTGTCAATCGGAACCAATAAGACCAAGCACTATTTGAAGAGAAATGGTCCTGAAGGAAAGTATATTCATGCTGTTCATAGATATGGAACAAGATCTCATGATGGGTTGCATCTTTTCAAGTGTAGGGTTCCTCTAGATTAAGAAGAAGGAACAACAGATAAGGCAGCTATTTTAGACAGTTTCCACATCAGTTACAAAACTTTAAGGCACGTACCATAGCAAAAACGCCTATCTGGTTGTGTATGCTGGGGTCACTAACCATACGGCATTGGTGGACTCTTCATAAGCAAACAAAAAGGCAAATGCAAATACCTTAATCATCTTCCAGAGTACTAGAGATCTGCTCTCACGTCTATATAGTACACCAATGTAGAAGAAATTTACCAACAAAATGGTTCCTTTATCTCGAACTCAACATTATTATAGCTGCATATAGTAATAAAGTGGTCAGCATTCATGCAGAAATTATCTAATTGTAAAGGATTTGGGTCATATGTCTCAGCATGAAGGATGTGTGCAAGTGAATCTATTTAAGTGGACAGACAGAATGATCAGTCTGTGGAGAGAGATGGAGAGGGTATTGGCATATCTTGCCTTCCATTACAGCATTTATTTTGCATATGATTATGATAATGTGAACTTACAATAACTAAATGTGATAACATATAAATTTTCTTGTGCGGTTGATTAGTATCTAACATCATTATATTACTAGACTTTCAGAATCAAATTCAAGTTAGAATATAGTGTTTTACAATAACTTTCTTCTTGCCTTCATTTCTTGAAATCATTTTATAGCATCTTCCTTATCAATGTTACAACATATATCCATTCCAGAAAAAGTTCTTTCAATTAAAGATGCGGGATTTGGAAAGATTAGTGATAGGTGAACTTACAATTTAACCCATACTTTTTATAAATTAAATTGTTAGAGACCTCAACTGATAATATACCTCTGAAGAAGGGTCATCAATTTGAGGCACAAGTTAAAATGCTGAAGTTGTGAGCTATGATCATTGTTTTAAATATCCTCGACATGGCCCGATATATCCCCCGATATATCCTTTTATCAGGCTTGCCACAACCGATATGGTCTCTAAATATCATTTACCCCATTTTGGCTATTTTGGGCGTTATATCCCTAACGTAGCCAATATATTAGCCGATATGTTGGCCGATACATTCTTTTATATGACTTGTCACAAAATAATATACCATGTTTGGCAATTTTTGGGCGAGATATCATGTTGAGATATCATGTTTTCCCATCATATCAAATGACGTTTTGACCTACAAATAAATTTGACAATACGTAGCAATGTTGATTTGTACTCTTGTTTATTTTATAAGGTTGATTAGTGATCCTAAACATATATTATTTACATTTTGTATGCTTAGATTTTATTAAGTATGTTGAGATTACATTTTAGTACATTATACCATATATGCAAACATCTATTTTGTCATTCCGATATTTACCACGTATCACCGATATTTCTCCGATATCCGCAATCTGATATGAATTTTGGCCATCCAATATTTCTCCGATATCCGATATTTAAAACCTTGGCTATGATTGCATTCAGTTGCAAATTGTATTCTTTTATGGGTTTTAGTGTAAATATTCTTGGGTTGTAGAATAGATGTTTGCCAACTGCACGTAGGTAGATGCTGACTGATTTGTTTAAATGCCATAGCAAATAAAGCTCCACATGTAAGGATTGTTACTGTTCATCATCTTCTAGCTTGAGGACTAAAATCAAGAACTCAATTCTCTCGTTCCTTCCCTTCTATTCTACTCTTTTCTCCTCTCAATTCTTTTTCTCTTTGTTAAATTGGAGCTCGACCACTCTCTAATGGTCGATGAGTGGAGCTAAGGAAGACAATGGAGATTCAAGACCCTTTCATAAATACACCTACTTTAAAATTTCAATTTTCCAAGGAGGGGCTAGGGCCCATTTGACCCTTACCTGGATTCACTCCTAATTATTAAAACATCTTTGTTCTTCCTCCCTCTCTCCTGCATCCATTGTCTAGTAATATAATCATTATCATAAGATTCATGAACCAAATTAAACGAATAATCTAGAAAAATAAACTTTAGATTTTACTTAGTGTTTTAAAGGCAATGCGCCTTAGCGCCTCAGGCGCTGAGGCGAGGCAATCTTGTAACTTAGCGCCTTGCGTATTGCCAGGCGATGAAAGTTAATAAGGCGATAGCCTTTTGGTGCCTCAGTAGTTCGCCTTGGCACCTCGTAACCTTGTCGTGGTGTCTCAGGCCCTCTCACCTAAGGCATGTGATGCAAGACGCGAGATGCTTGTCTCTATTTTAAAATTTTGAGGATGCGTAAGGTGTCCAATAAAGTAAAGTTTATTTTTCTTACTGAATTTTTGTGTTTCTTTTTCATTATCAGTTTTTTGCTATTTTTTGTTGAAATGTACTTTATTATCTATATCATTTTGAGGACATGTCGTAATTTGAACCTTGATGTTCAAAGTTTGTTAATTATTTGTGTTAAAAGTTACTAATTAATATTACTATTCAATATATGTTACTTGTTACTTTATTTAGATGGTCTATGACTATTAAATCTATGACTTCAAAAATTAGGATGTAATTAATTTGTCTTGTTGATATTAATTGATATATGTATATTATTTGCAATGTTTGTGAATTTTTTGAATATTTATCACATTGGTCCACTCAGGCGATCGCCTTTTTTGTCGCCTTTCGCCCCAAGCAACATATGACCTCATTGTCTTGACCTCACATTTTGTTTTGAAAACACTGATTTTACTCATTCTAGATCATCATCCTTTGAACTTGTTTATTCGTATGTGGGTGAGGAGAATTCATACAAATAAAGATAAATTATCTTCAATGAAAACATATTAAGAATAAAAGAATATATAAACCGATCTTTTCTGACAATAAGCTAAAAAAAATTTAAAACCTCACCAACATGCATCTATTGTTGGGTTAAGAAAACAATATTGCATAATAATGTGGCCTTAATGAGTGATCTAAGGGCACTCGTTACCACGACTCTTTTTCCATATAAATCAAAGCCTTTAATTTTGAAATTTTAAATTCTTACCATATATTGAAGAATAGCCACCTATCTTTGGGCGATTCTTTTATTATAAGAGATTTTTCAAGTAAACAATTCCCACATGTATACATAAACACATATATATATAATTATGTATTCTTCATATATTTTATATATATTTATATAATAATTAATATTATATATTATTATAATATATATATATATCCAAAAAGGGGGCTCGTCGTGACACACAGCCTTGGCTTAAGTAACACTATTATCTTCTTCATTTATATAGATAATATATATATATTATAATAAAATATATTAATATATATATATTATTATAATATATATATATATCCAAAAAGGGGCGCTGCGGTGACACACTAGCCCTTGGCTGAGAGCTGACACATTGTGTCACCTAGGAGCAACGTTTTGGGTGATGTGTCCGTGTCCAACACAAATCAGACACAAATTCTCCACAAACATGCCATGGACATGTATGGTTTAAACCAAAAACTGATTTCCCTCTTATTTATATCATAAACTAGTTTCTTTAGTAATATTGGGTTCAAAACTAATTATTTTTTTGAACCCAACTACTGAAACACATTATGTAAACATTTGAAAAATAATCATCATATTATCCCATGTGGATTAAAACAAAACTTTGTTGTTAAACTTTATTCTTAGTTTGATTTAACTTGATTCTTAATTGTTATAGATAATAAATAGAAGCATACATATATTATAGGTATTTTAATTTAATATTTGATCTAATGAGCGCGCACTCACACACACAAACATATAGTTGTGCCCCCTGTACCCTACATTTTATAAATTTGTCGTGTCTCATGCCTGTATCTGTGTCTGTGTCCATGTCCACATCCATATCCGTGCTACCTAGTATGTCGCACATCCAGCCTACCACTTAAAAATCATATATGCTTAATTTGCAAAAGAAACCTTTAAAAACCATTTCAAAAGAACGTTTCATCTTCTTCTCTCCATTAACCCACGATCCAACTAATCTTTTCTTCTTTGAAGATGGTTGTCTCCCCATGGAAGTGACAACTCAATATCCAAGATATTCCCCGCCCCCCGACACCGCTACATACCGATTGCATTCCTTCAAGCCACAAACCCTATTTTGTCCTAATCCTCCCTAAACTAAATCTCTGTAGTCCCTTACATTCTTTAGCCCCGCTAGATGACATCCTGATCAAAACCATTAAAGAAATGCACTTATATTTGAAGGATCACTCGAGCCAAGTAACAATATGAACCATTTGATCATTGATTCTTTACAAAAGAATCCCTACAAAAAATCAAATATCCAAAACCCATCATCTTTAACCCCAAATAAAATCTCCAAATCCCTCTCCTTCCCACACCTAAACCAATACAAATCCATTAAGTGGATCACCGGTTTTAGAACATTGTTCTCATATAGGTAATTACCTTTAGGATAAAGGAAATCTATGCTTTAGTTCTTAAGGAAAAAACATGTCAAAAAATTACAAGGCTTCGGCACATGCGACAAATTTATGTTAGTCTAAGCTGGATGCGAGTGACCCGGTAACGTTTTCCGCATTTGTGATTCAACAAGAAGGTCAACATACTGGGACGAAGCAAGAGAGTGGCGGTGATGAGGGAGTTAGGACTTTGATTTAGGGTTGAAGAAGAGTGGTCTTTCTAAATTGATTTATTATAGGTTTCTTTCGTAAAAACTGGTCAACCATCGGATTTTATAAAAATAAGTTGGATGAT